CAGGCCACAGGTTTTGCTATGCAAAGGAGATTGTAACGCCAAAGCCCAGGTTTACATCATATGATATGACTGACCCTCTAGATTCTGAATCTATCATTACATGTGACGTAATTTTATATCATGACAATCAGCGCATAAACTGCCGAATTTGCAAGGAAGATCATGAAGCCAAAAATTGCCCTAAGAGAAGAGTGGTTATTTGTTTTTCGTGTGGATCTGAAGGTCACCGTAAATCAGAGTGTCCTACAAAGACCAAGTCCTGCTGGCAATGTGGGTCATCAACCCACCAAAAGAAAGACTGTCCAGATCTAACAAATGGTATTCGGGTTGCTAGTGCCCTTCTAGATCAAGCACTACAATTAGATTCCCATGACATGTCCCCCACAGTGATAGAGAGAGAGCAGACAAGTTCATACAGTCATGCCAAAGTGAGGCTGCCAAGAATCCCCACCATCATGATGCAGCACATGACACAGTACCAGCACCATCAACAGAGGTCAATCCAACATCTACCTCTTGCTGTAGTCCAACATCCCCTGTGCTGAAACTTGTTTCAACTGCCATCAACAACACTCCAGTAGCTCCATCAAACAGTGAACCTCTTGACTCACCCACAATGAAGACATCCATTAATGTTAGCCTGAAACGGAAGGACGTATCACCACTTATGGACCCAAATGCCAGTAAAAGTGTGAGAGTTGTATCTCCAGTTAGTGACAAACCAGTGAACCATGTATCTGAAACTCAGAAACACAAAGTTGTCAATGCTGATCCAGATGATAAAGATTAATTTAATAAACACTTACCCCGATACGTAATGGTAAACATTTTTACAGGAAACGTCCAAGGACTACGGAAAAAAGTAACACGCCACACAATGTTCAGATATCTTAAAAGGGAAAAGATTGATATTGCATGTTTGCAAGAATCTTTTGTGACGGAAAATGATATTGTCAATTGGAGCAAGGAATGGGGAGGGCAGTTGTTTGCTAACCCAGGAACAAATCACTCTAAAGGAGAAATTATTTTGATTAACAAGACTTGTGAAGCAGAAAATGTAAAGTTATTGGTCAAGGACGACAGAATTTTGATTATTGAATTAGATTTTGAAGATGAACATTTCATTATATGTAATGCTTATGCCCCAAATAAAGCCAGTGAAAAAATCAACTTTTATAAAAAAGTTCAAAATTTGATCAAAAGATATAACACACATGATGTCAATTTTCTAATTTCTGGTGACTTTAATTGTATTTTAAACCAAAACCTTGATAATATATCAGGGGCTTTACATTCTCAAAGAGAAATTCAATCATTTAATGCATGCATAGATAAAAATGATCTTATAGATATATGGAGAATTCATAATCCAAATGACAAATGTTATACTTGGAAGCATAAGACGCAGAATATTATGCGTCGAATTGATTATATGTTTTGTAATGATTTTCTGTTTGATAAAATAGTATGTACTGGAATAGAAAATTTTCCTACCTCTGACCATAGAGGAACCATCATTAATGTGAAAATAAATAATTTTGAAAAAGGTCCAGGATACTGGAAGTTTAATAATAGCCTTTTAGAAAACCATGAGTATGTTAAGATTATTAACGATACTATTGAAAATTTGTCAAAAAATGAAGACAAATTAGATAAACAAATCCTTTGGGATTACTGTAAAGTAAAGATTAAGGATATATCATGCATTTTTAGTAAACAACTGGCCAAAAGTAAAAGAGACCAAATTAAAGATATGAAAAATAAGCTAGAAAAAGCATCTAGCGAGTTGATACTAAATCCTGGTAATAAAGATATAAACCAGTTGGTAAATAAATTCAAATTACAGTATGAAATGTTATGTGCAGGTGAATCAAAAGGTGCTCTTGTTCGGTCAAAAGTCAAATGGCATGAACAAGGTGAAAAGAGCACAAAGTATTTTCTTCAGTTAGAAAAAGCAAGGGCCACTAATAAATGTATTACTTCACTAAATTTGGCTGACAATACAACTATTACAAATCAAGAGCGAATAGCTGATGAAATATTGTCATTTTATACGAATTTGTACTCAAAGAAAATTGTATTCAGAAAGGCAAGTTTGGATGATTTTTTGAATAATGTAGAGGTACCAAAATTGAGCCAAACGGATAGAGAATCTTGTGAAGGTCTAATTACTGTAGATCAATGTAAACATGCATTAAAATATATGAAAAATAACTCTAGTCCAGGGCTAGATGGACTATCAGTAGGTTTCTATAAAGTATTTTTTACAAGAATTAGCACATTATTTCTAGAGTCTTTTAATGCATCATTTATATCTGGTGAATTATCAAATTCTCAAAAGAAAGGTGTTATGGTTTTATTACCTAAAAAGGGATTGGCACGGTCTTATTTAAAACATTGGAGACCCTTAACCCTTACAAATGTTGATTATCGTATTTTGGCTAAGGTTTTGGCAAATAGATTGAAAAAAGTCATATCAAAAATTGTACATGAAAATCAAAGTGGTTACATTAAGAAAAGAAGTGCAGCTACTATTTTAAGGGCGATAGATGATATAATTTGTTATATTGACACAAATAATTTACAAGGTATTATGTTAGCAATAGATTATGAGAAAGCCTATGATTCTATTTCTAAAGAATTTATGTTAGAATCCTTAAAAAACTTCGGATTCGGTCCTTCATTTACAAAATGGGTGAATATTTTAAATACCAATGGCACTAATCATATTTTAAACAATGGTTGGATATTAGGTAATGTAAAACTAGATCGGGGGATTAGACAAGGGTGTCCTTTATCACCTTTACTATTTATTTTAGCCACTGAGCTTCTTTCATGTAAAATTAGACAGTCAGAAAAAATCAAAGGTATAAAAACACCTGGCCAGGATAAGGAATTTAAGCTTTTTCAATTTGCAGATGACACATCAATGTTTTTAAATGATGATGTATCATTTAATCATACCCTGAAGGTGTTTAATGAATTTTACAGTATTAGTAGTCTTAAGGTAAATCCACAGAAAACTGAGGCAATGTGGCTTGGGAGATTCAAAAATAGACTAGATGGATTGGGTCATGTAAAATGGAAATTAAAGCCTGATAATAATATTAAAATACTTGGAATTACTTTTAGCACAGGTAAGGTGGTTAACAATCCAGTAAATTTTGAGCCAAAATTTTCGAAATGTGAAAATATTATGAAGTCATGGGTATCAAGGAATTTAACCATAATTGGGAAGATTGTACTGGCAAAATCTTTATTGTTATCCCAATTTCCTTATCTTTTACAAGCATTTATACTTCCTGAAAATCTACTCAACAGAATTAATACATTGCTTTTTAAATTTATTTGGGCAAAGGGCAGATTCAAAGAGGAAGATCTAAAAAAGATTCCTGATAGAGTAAAACGGGACATCTTAGTTCAAAATTATAATAACGGTGGGTTAAAGATGATCAATGTTAAGGATATGCAAGTAGCTTTTGCTTTAAGATGGGTTTCAAAGTTAGTAGAAGGTGGAGTAGGTCATTGGCGAATTATACCATGTTACATGTACAACATACTAGGAAGAGATTTTAGTGTTTTTAATAGTAATGTACCTTATGATAAAATCAAAGGAATCAATAACTGTAATGAATTTTATAAGAATCTTTTAGAATATTGGCTGAAATACAGCAATTCTTGTGATTCATCTATTATATGGAACAACCAGTACATAACTAGATTTAGAGAACCACTCCTTTTTGTTAACTGGATTAAGAAAGGTATAATTTATGTGACAGATGTTGTTAGAAACAGTAAACTGGCTACATATGATGAATTGTGTCAAAAGATTCATAGAAATGGCCAAAGTTTTTTAGAATATCAGGCTCTCAGAAATTCATTGTCTGATGAAATGATGCAAAGGTATGGAAATGTGTTGCCAAATAAATCTTTAAAGTTTCGAGACATAGACTGCAAGATATTAAAAACCCAAACAATCAGAGAAAAACTTACCTTGGATAGAAAAATACCATTATATCATAACAATATCTTAATTGAAACAAATGTATGGAAATGTTTATATTCATGTACCAAAGATACGTCTTTGCTAATATTACAATGGAAGATATTTCACAATATTTATCCAAATGGTGTATTTTTAAAAAAATGTAGATTACAACAAAATGACTTTTGTAAATTTTGCCAACCAGATGTCCAAGACACTTTAGAACATTATTTTATAGACTGTAACTTTATTAAAAATATTTGGCGAAATAGCTTACTCAGTAATGATGAAAAATTGGGTTTGTCTCCTGTGCCAAAAGACAAAATGCTAGAGGCATTAATTATTAAAAAAACCATTCACAGATATAAATGTAATGAAAATTTAAATGTATTGAGTTTAAAAGCAATTTTTGATTTAGAGAAAGAGGCCTATTTTGTTTTGTAAATATGTATATAATTGTTTGTGATTAATAAACTGTTTTAAAGAAAAAAAAAAAAAAAAAGAAGAGAAAAAGCAAACTCCTAGTTAGTGAGTTGTTTTGTTGTTATAGTGATTATTACTGGTCCTCATCTGGTTTAGGACTGTACCTCCTAGTGACAAAATGAATGAACATTCTTTCTTTCAAATAACACTTCTATAGACCAGAAAAAGAACTATTTTTCCTCTGCTTGATGTTCATCCATTTTTTATCAGGATGATCAATCCTGGTAACCAGGTGGGGACCAGTGATCAATACAGGGTGATCCAAAAATGCAGAACCACGACCCTTTATTCAAAGATTAATGGATTCTGTTTTTGAGTCACCCTGTATAAAGTTATGGTTTCTGGAAATAACACATGCTTTTTAAGATAATTAACCTCCTACCTTCAGCTTCCTTTTTCTCTTCATCCTCCTCATCCTTTAGGCTCTGGGCACTTGGTATGTTACACAGCTCTACCTCTATCTCTGCAAAGCTCACACCACTGCCAGGCACAGACCTGCGTGCAAGGAACTTCTCCCATCGTTTCTTGGAGAAAAAGTCACCATGGACAGCTTGCAAGAACCACCTACAATGTATGAACTAGTTATCAATAATGTAAGCAGTAACTGAAAATAATTCATCACATCATATTAATGTGTGCATTACAGCCATATCTTATTTTCTCCAAAATATTTCATTTGATCCAAAATAGGAAATCCAGCTATGTTATTTTGTTCTACAGTAAAAGTATGTCAGTAAATGATGGAAAAATCTCAAACCTACAGGAAAATTGTGAATTCAAAATAAGCTGGGAACATTATTTAACAGCAAAATTCAATCAATCACCTGGCTTGGTCTTCAGTGATTGTGTCTTTCATCTCTCTGTCAAGCATAGAGAACTCCCAGCGGAAATCTTGCACTAAGAAATAGCGCCGATCCATCTCCTGAAGAAGCTCAAATAATTCACTCTTCTCAACAGTATCTCCAAGACACGTGTAGTCAATAGAAGCCTCAACCTGAAACATAGGGAACATAACAAGTCAATTTCAGAAAGTTGACTTTTCACTTTACTGCTCTGTTGTCCCATCCCATAGTATGCCTGAGCAAGTTTTCTGAACCCCTTTTAGACACTATGGTTGTTTCTATGAAACTTAAATTTACACATTTTGATGAATACAAGCCCTTATTTAAAGGGCTCATAGCTCTATTGCTGTAATGGTGTTCATAAATAACTCAGCTTGAACATGAACCTTAAACCTTTTCTATTTCCATAAGGCATCGGCCTTTCAAATTCAAACCAAATTTGACAACTGGTGTTCGAGTTATCACACGGACACACTAGCGGGCAGATGGATGGATGATTGAGATGGAAGGCTTGTTTATTTCCCTACCAAATTATTCATTCAAAGATGTTTTAGGGTTATCATCACTGGCGGATCTTGAGTTGGCCAAGAAAAAAAAATTGGGCCCAAAAATAATTCAAAATTTGGGCCCACTTTTCGGTTTTAGGGGCCCTAAAAAATTTTTTTCCTCTCACCTGAATTTTGGGCCCCCCCCCTTGTTGGTTCCCAGATCCACCCCTGATTATATTAAAGCTATTGACTCTTTAATTCATCCTGTAAGTTCTGTATATTTTGAATTCTCACCTGCTGAAAACTTATTCCCCCAATCCTCATGTCAGCATGTATGCTCTGTGCTTGGACGGCAGTTAGTTCACCCTTCAAATCTGCATCATACTGTTGGAATATCTGATCTACCAAGCTGTTCCTCTCACCAAGTTCACCCATATTAATTCTTCACACCTATGAAAATACATAAGAAAACACCTCAAAAAGTGCACATCTACATAGTTTCTGAAAAAAATATTGATATTTTTCCAAAAAAAAATGCACATTATCGATCATGATTATTTAGATTTGGCAATCATACAACCCCTAGATAATACCCTAAATGAAATACTGTTGGAAAAAATAAATCATACCCCAATCTTGCTATCCGCCCAGATAACAGCCTACTGCAAATGTAAGACTGTTGCAAAATTTGTAAAATTGGATTCGTTATGTCTTATTTGTGCTTTTTTATGAATAGAATGAGATTGTGAAACGCGTGTACATGCAGCCAGGAAGAAATGGAATGGGAATTATCCACATACTATCTATTGCAAGACTTACACCTGCCACAACCGTCACCATGTTATTCAGTGTTTTTAAGTATCGCAAAGATCCTGCCATGACCGTGGTAGTGTTATCGTGTAAGCCTGGTATAACCGTGACAATGCTGTATTATATTGCAAGGGCTGTCATGACTGTGGTAATGTTAAAGCCCCATATGACCACATATGACAGTGACAATGATCGCAAGGCCTGTCATGACCGTGGTAATGTTAAAGCCTGTCATGACCGTGGTAGGGTTAAAGCCTGATATGACTGTGACAATTTTGCAAGGTCTCTCATGACCTTGGTTGTATTAAATAACATTTAAAGTAGCACGAGAACACTGTAATGATAATTTTCCTCGTGTTTAACTACCTTAAATGAGCAAGACTACTTTACATGTACATGGTACTCATGTTCATTGATAGATTTGATACATACATATGATTCCAAAACATATACTTTCTATGACGATCAATTACTAAGGTTAATCCATAAAAAAAATAAATAATAGCAACGGGCGAAACCTTAACCAAACCCGTCTGGCCCAGTCAACTACCCCTGACCTCGTAGATCTGGGCCAGACAAGGAAAAAACACACTGGTTTTTCAATGTATAAAACGTGCTGATAAATGAATAAACATAAAAGTAACTTACGTGTTTGTTCCTTGTATCAAACTTTGTATTTATATTAGGTTTCCATCGTTATGACGGCTAATAAATAAGAACGAAACGATTAAACGCAGCAAAAAGAGAAATTCTTCTGCAATCTGTTCGTGATCTCGTAGAATATCGAGAAGTCTTGGCTGCATATTTCGTTCAGTACTACATTCGGTCAGTTCAACAAATTGAAAAATCGTATTTAATGTCCACCATATTTCTTTCCAGTCTAAATACAACACAGATACGTCTGTTTTATAAAGTAATCTACGTTTTGATAACAAATCTGCTGAACAAATCGTAATATTTGGAATGTATTGATTCCCGGGAAATGAATTTTCGTTCCATGAAAGTTTAAAAATTATCGCGTCACACTCGTGTTACGTCACATCACGTGACTTTATTCGGTGCGGAGAACTGACGAAATATTGACGAAATGTTGTGCCCATTTCAACATCAAAATAACAAACAAAACACCACATTTCCATCGTAACTGGGCCAGACGGGTTTGGTTAGCGAAACATGAAATAAATCATAGATGTCATATAAAGTCTACGGTCGTGCCAGGCTTACACGATACATACCTGGCATTGCAATATAATACAGAATTGTCAAGGTTATACCAGGCTTTCACGATAACACAACCACGGTCATGGCAGGATCCTTGCGATACTTAAAAACACTGAATAACATGGTGACGGTTGTGGCAGGCGTAAGTCTTGCAAGAGATAAGGTCTCGAATTATCTGTGCTATGCATATGCCAGAGTATGATTATTCTGCTATTTGGCCTTTTCTCTAATGCGGCATGCACTTACTCACTTCGAGAGTCGTGTTAGATTTTGAATTATATCCTCATAGCTTTCTAAGGAAGTAAGCATGGCATGCACCACTGAACCATCTTGCAATCAGTAGCCAGCAGTCTAAAGCATTACACTTTCACGAAGGTCTATTAGACGAGTTTGCATTTTCGTGATTTTTGCATATTTTTAGTAGATCTATATTTACAAGGCTTAGCTTAGATCTACTTTCAGTTTCACTGACTTCGGACTTAGATCTCTCTACAACAAAATTGGATTTATTCATATCCATGTACTTACAAGGTCCTAAAACATGAATCGTATGGGTACGGCCTGACCTTCCACGTCACCTCGTGGTCATCATGACATCAATAAGTGTTGTTGTTCTTTATAACAGCAGTATTTATTGGTCTTTTAAATGAACTCTACGCCGCCATTTATAAACAAAATTTTTCTAAAGTGATCACCGAAAGAATCTGTTAAGCTTAATTTGATTGGTTCAATTATATTTCTTCCTACTGTTAAACCAATCAATATCGTCCTTTTATCAAGACTTTGGGGAAACGCTGATGTCACAAGACAAAATGGCTGCTGACCCCAAAAATAAATATAGCAAATTTGTGTGGAAAAAGGTAAATATACTGCAAAATGTATTTTTCAAACTTCAAATGTGCACTCTATAGTACTTGAACGATTCTTTTCAATCCAATCCAAATCATTAAATATTAGTAAACACACACAATGTGGATTGGGGGGATTTTTTATCTTATTTTTTCGTCTTCGAATTCGACTTTCTTTGGGCTTGGCTTACTTTGACTCAGTGTGACTGAGTCAGAAGGCAGGATTTTGAAGATCGGCATATTCTTGCTTATAAACAGGTATTTACAACGATTTGTAGACCAGTAGATGATTGATCATCTTGCGTTGTTGATAGAATTTTCTACAGTTGGTCTAAAAAATAAATGACAGGTCGATTTTCGATCACCATTTCCTAATCATTGTCGTCTGAAAGCCCATAATTTCCAATATTGTCTATATACATATCCCTTAAAATTTGTATATTTTACATTTTGTATAATATCATCCACTGATGTATGTCCTCTTGAAAATTCTCTTATTTTTAACATGGGAAATCCTCACTTCAGCAAATCCACCTGTCATTTATTTATGGTCCAAACTGTAGGCTAGCAATTGAAGTCTGAGTCTATATTCCATTTAGGCTAGTCCACAACAACATTAGACCTTACTCGAGTCTCTAGCCAATTCTTGGCTGGAAGTAATTCCATCTGGAACACCGTGAACTATTGTAAAATCTTTAGCCGTCGTACAATAAATTTATGTTATATTCTAAAAATTGTTCTGTTAATATTTCATGAATTGAAATGGTAACAGCTTGTCTTGTTGATGAGATATTGAACGTTTTCATTTAAAATAGACATCGTCTCGTTTTCCATTTTGAAAGCATGCCTTTTTCCGCTATAGCGAAGAGACAACACACTCAGTGCCTATAGAATATAGTAAATTAGACCCACTACCAAAAGTCAATGGAAAATTATCCTCAAACTAATTTGCATTTTTCGATCTCAAATGTCATAATTCAAAGCATAATAAATGTCGGTCTTATATTTCAAATACACCTTATACTTACATCTGATAATATCTTTTATCAAACATATGCAGTATTTATCGTAGAATAGAATGAATTTCAGATAGAATTGGCATGGAAAATTTCAATCAGCAATTCTCTGTCAGATTATGCTCTGATCCATTGATCCCAATCCATTGATTGGTCAATGCGATATGCACAGGAAGAAATGACTTTTGTTTCAATTACGGTGTCACCCCACATTTTTAACATGGATATAGGAGGGGTTATTTATCTTAATCGTGTCTAAATTTCTTGCTTTCGAGGCACAACATTGTAAACAAATGGCGGGATAAGTTTAAATGATTGAAGATGTAAGTATTTTCGATCTTTTCAAAGCTAAATGACTGTCTATTCTTCAAGAAAATCGTGAGGAGGGATACTTGTCCTGCTTATTTCGAGTCTTGAACCTTCATAAACCTTTAATTTTACATGTTTGTCTGAATAAACATACTCTAAAATGTGGTTGTGTAAGATATCAAGCTCTGGTTTTCTCCGCTTTTTGCGAAAATTGCCACTCAATTTTCTGTTTTGATGACGTCAATTTAATACGTTTTAAGCAATATATGCGACAGTTACATAACAAAATATGCAAGCATTGTGTGCAGTTACACTTTTGCCTGATATATTCGTCATTTAAATCAAAGGAGCTGTGCATATTATTTTTTTACTTCCTTGTCCGCCATATTGTTTTTTAAGGGAACCACTCAAATCAAAGGATTCAACAAAATGGCGCATATGAAATTTACCATTGACTTTTGGTAGTGAGACCTAGCCTGGGCCTCGTTTCTTATCTGACATGTCTTATGGCCCTGGCTAGGTCTAACCTCCATGATCATTTTGCCTTAGTTAGATGCGTTAATTTAATTGTTCACAGGTTTCGACAAACGGAACTAATTAAACCCTGAAAAAATTGCATAAAGAATGTAACTCAAGCATGCATACATACCTTATGAATACATTAGTGGTGTAACGAGTGACTCTGGTAATCGACTAGAACTTGAATGAGCCTAGAAAAATAATCGATCGATTGAAAATTTGAAAATCGTGATCCTGAAAATTTCTGAGAAAAATCGATATGTATAAAATGAATGTGGATATGACTCAATCCGAATAGCAGTTTTAATTTGTGCAGCCAATGTTGAAGGACGGATGGACAGATGGATGGACGGACCAACGGAAACTGATAGGCAAATCTGACTTTAGAAACTTAGTACTGAGTAACTAAAAAACTGACTAGGTACCTAAGTCTTAAACTGAGTACATGTACATAAATTGAGTACTGAGTAACTAAGAAATTGAGTAGTAAACGAATTTAGAGTGTGTGAGCACAGGACCGTGGGTCCTTTATTAGAGTTCAAGAATATCAGAGAACATTGGGAAATGAACTAAGGAATGAGAAATGTAAGACATTTGCAGGAAAAAAGGGATGAGAAAAGATTATTTTTAGCAGATTCATTTTTCTAAAAAACATCAATGTTTTGTTTCAGACATCGATGCATCGCCAGAATCACTTTTGGCGATGTATATTGCGATGTATCGATTAATCGCGACAATACTAGTACACAGTGATCTCCCCAGCATTAAAGCAAGTGGGTGCTGCACCAAGATTTTTAATACAGGCTTGCACCCACCTGAAAACCCATTTTCACTCACTTGAAAATGAGAAAAATCATGAAAAATGGACATATTTTGACCTGGAATGTGAAAATGAGAATTTTGCACTTAAAAAATCCTGGGGAGAATGTTGGTACAGTACTTTCTTCTATATTTTTCATGTAGGTCTGTGATTTAGTTTTTTATTTGTCCTCTTATTTATAGTGATTGATTATTGTGAATTTAAGTTACCTTGTGCATTGATAAATGACCCCATACCAGTAAAGAGCCAATATATCATTTTCTAATTATGGCTTAGTGTGCCAATACTAGGCTATTTATATTTTTTTTGATTAATTTCAGCTAAAAAGGTAGACAAGATAAGACTACAAAAAGTTGGTGTAGATATTTGGGGACAGATGAAAATAAAAACTAAAGAACACATTAACAAGAGGGACTTGAGGGATACAGCTGAAGAGAACCAGAACCAAGAACAAGCGAAAGAAAACAGAAGCAAATTAGATAACAGGACCAGCTGCTTACAGGCAACCTGTGGTAAGCCTATCTGTTATCAATTTAATACCAGTCTTTATTTGAATTAAAGGTACTCATATACCCGCAGGCCTCAAAATTGATTAACAATGAAGTGTATATAATTTCATGTTTAATGTCTGTTGCAAAATTAATATTGCTTCGTGACTTCATTACTAAAATAAAATGTTACTCAAAATTTACTTTTTAAAAGATTGATATCATAAAATTTATATGATCTAAAGCTGATCACTTCTCAAATCATTGCTCCAGTCCTAATGCTATTACATATGGAGCCATGTGAACATCTTTCTATAGTGAACACTTTTTCGTAAATTTTTGATTGTTAAGTGCAGTTTTTCCCTTTAGCAACATTTTAAGTCACTAAAAGCAATATTTGTTGGATTATACAACATATGGGAATTGTTCCAGCATTTAACTTTAATATAATATGATTAAGTAGCATGTGGCGAATATGTGTTAATGTGAATTTTTCTTATTTCAGTATTGTGTAGAAGAGATTTATGTGGGTCTCAACAGGACATGAGTGGGCTGGCTACAGGGGAGGCTCGGGATTCTGTACAACTCGAGCCTTTCATGCACCAGGTTGGAGGCCACTCTAGCATGCTACTTTACAATGATACAACAGTCTGTAAGCCGTACATACCCAGGGAACATCACCTTTATCAGACCCTGCCCTCAGCCATGGGACACTTCATTCCTGAATATAGAGGTACATATTGAAGATATTTTGACCCAAGGAAGTGGGCGCAGCACCCACCTGGGATTTTGAAAATAGGCTTGCACCCACCTGAAAATCCATTTGCACCCTCTTGAAAATGAGAAAAATAATGAAAAATTGGCATGTTTTGACCAATTTTGGATTGACTTGAATTCTGAATTGTGAAAATGAGAATTTTGCACCCACCTGAGACAAAATCCTGAGGAGATCACTGGATTTGACTTATTTTGAGCTTAGGTGAATGATCTCTATTTTGAGGACAGACAATTTTTTAATTTAAGGTTAAGGTCAATAGAGTGGCTTTTAAATTCATACAAAATGAATGTCAGCTTCAAGATTTTTCTCATAATTCAATTATTTTTATCAGGCCCAATAAATGTCAAGGCTATTGGTATATTTACAACGTAAAGAGGGGGGAACCCTCAGGGTTCAAAAAAGACATATGTCTATAATGTAAAGTTGTATTGAGAAGACATCGTCGCTGATTGGTCAAATCCATAGAAAATGACGTCATTCAATGGTTGTTTCAAAATTTTCTAAAAACACTTGTTAATTTCTGGCATGTTGATCAATATCATAGCTTGTTAGTTCACATCAAGATAAAGAAAGATGTAAGGAATATACTAACATTGAGTAAAACATCACAACATTGTGTGGTGTGGAAACTAGCCAGTAAAATTTGAACAAATTAAGGTGATAGGCAAGAGACGTAATTATGTCTCAAAGCTCTGGGGTTTTCCCTACTTTTGTACATGTACATGTTTATAAGATATTACACATCAGTAATACATCTTTCACATTTACAGGTTTAATAGAGGTTTCATCCCATGAAGATCAAGATGGCTATATCACCCTTGTGGGCCACCCAATTGAGCTACCAAGGAAAGGCAAACACTATGAAGATGGGGGCTGTTCCCCTGGATCCAGTGGGGAGGGGGAGGCTAGGTCAGATTCTGACAGTGAAATAAGCCCAATAAGGCAGACTTCTAGAAGCAGGTTTGTGTTCTAGTTTATTTTAGCATCATTTTAATCACATACTTGGAGTCCTACATTGAAGTAGATGCTCTGGAAGAGTTAACTGTATATGTTTTTCCTGATATTAGAAATGGATCTACTTGCAAGTTGTTTACAATGCAAGGCAATATATAAAAACCGCCCTATGATAAACGTATATACATTTAATAAAATACAACCTACCCCTCTAAATTTGGGAGGGTGGGAGAGGAAAATCATTTTTTCAAGACCCCCAGCGAACTTCCGCCCAGAGTGCAATTTTACACTGAACGAATGTTGATCCCCGGGGATATTTCATACATCTCTTACATTAAAATTAATTTATAATATAAATATACATTAATGTGTAATATTCTGAAATATAATACAAAACATGGATGTTGGGCTTAAAATGAGCGGATTTATTTTTAATTAATAAATCTTATTACAAAACACATATTACAAAACATATCATATTGATTCATATTGCCAATGCAAGTTGTTTACAATGCAAGGCAATATATGAAAACCGCCCAAACACCGCCCAACATCCGATAATCTATCTTGCTTCTATAAATTGTCAATGAGACGATTTGATAAATTACATAGTACCTTTTTGGGTGTACGTATATATTCTTGATAACAGTTGCTGGCCCAACGGCCCATGATTTTTACTTCCCAGTCTTTTAAACCTGCAATACCAGCCTGTGTGGCTCCTCCTATTCGAAATGAATGACCACTGAATTTATTGGGATCATAACTCAAAATTGACATGTACAACTTTAGATGAGATATGAATGTACCTCTATTCAATTGCAGACCATTGCTATGCAAAAATAAACATTGCCTGGATTGTGAACCTCTATTTTCGAGATAAAATTCTGTAAGACAAACTGCACACAGAGGTTTATTAGTGCAACCAATGGTGACATCAGAGCCTTTACCAATAGGATCTGTTTTTGATATGTTCAATCTGAGAACCATGTGTTTCAAATGTTCACCATCAGGTTGCTCTATGTGGACATCTGTGATATTCAAATTCAGTAACTCTGAACATCTTAAAAGACCATAAAAGGCCACAGTCATTGCTGTTATATACATAAGTTCATTTCTATCATTTACATTATGCATCTCTAATAGTTTATACATAATATCTGCTGTAATTGCAGATTTTTTATTAGTGTTATCTTGTTCCATTAATACTGCTCTCAAAGCTCTTTTGATTTTGAAAGAATTTTCGATTGGATCTATGAATCCATGTTCCAAATGAAGTGATCTTATTGCGTATAAGTAACTTAAAATTGTACCATGTTTTAAATTCTTTTCAAAACTATATGTGATAAACATTAATAAAGTTTCCTCTGATGCAGGAAGGTATTCATGTTTGACCTTTTCGCAAAATTCAATAAAAGACTTCTGTTCTGATGCATAAGTTTTAATAGTTGTAGGACGTAGCCCTCTTTTTACCAATTCATCTGACCTCTTTTTTAACCCTTCACAGTCCAAGTGCCCTAAAACACATATAATAAATACTTTTGAGCAATACATATTTAATTAATCATAGACATAGTATAGTAGAAATACACACTGGCTTATTAAAATCAGTATTATACTTAATCACACTGTTAAAATAAGAAAGTCCATAGATATAAATAAACCCATCATTCATATAAGACTATTATGGGTATTAATAAAATTCCTGCAACTTAACAGGAATGCATTGTTTCATGGATATTGATTCAGTCATTTTGTAGAATCTATCCATTTGATTCCTACTTAATGCATCAGCTAAAGAGTTTGATACTCCAGGGATGTGTTGACTCCTACATTCACACTGATTGATAGCACAATAGTAAAATAATGCCCTTATTAATGACATTATATGTTTGTTTTTACAAGAACCTTTGTTAATTGCATGTACTATAGCCATATTGTCACAGTTTAACATAATTTTCTTTTGTTTAAATTCCTGGCTCCATGTTGCTATAGCTACCACTATGGCTTTCATCTCTTTCCATGCAATATCATGGTTTCTATCATGTTTATCAAATACTCCTGCTATCCATTGCCCTTGATAATATGCACCATATCCTTTGTCAGATGCATCCGTGAAAAGATCCAAAGATTCATTTGTGATCCATTCATCATCATAAAAGAGCGATATCCCGTTCCACTCTGGTAAATATTTTATCCACCAAGATATGTCAGCTCTGAAACTTTTGTTAAGCTTAATTTTATGGTGTAGGTGTTTCACTTTTGTAGACAAGTCAATCATTCTCCGAAGAAATGTGCGACCTGAATGTACGACTCGACATATAAAATTTAGTTTCCCTATAAGGGATAACACTTCCCTTTTTGTTGCTTTCTGTCTATATCTCCACTGTTTTAACTGATGATGTATGTCAGTTAATTTTTCCATAGATATTCGAATTTCCATTTTTTCAGAGTCAATTTCCATGCCTAGGAAATCAATGCATGTTGTAGGCTGTACAGTTTTATTTATATTGCATGAAAATCCAACTTTTTCACAAGTACTGAGCATAGTGTTCAGATTATTCATACATACATTAGAATCGGGTGGACCACATGTGAAGTAGTCATCGATATAATTTATACAGTTTGATGCACCATTCATTGACATTATGAATCTTAACATTTCAGCAAAGTCACAAAATAGCTTGGGAGAACTACGGCACCCAAATGGTAATACTAAGTCTACAAAATACACAGTTACATCTTCATCATTAATCTCATTTTTCATGGTCCATGTTGTACCCAAAAGTTCCCAATCTTCTCTCCTAACTGGTATATGTTTAAAAGCATCTGTAAGGTCCAATTTACTCATTAAACTGTTTTGTCCATTGATCTTAATTAACGATATTGCATCATCCACTGATATATAAGAACATGAATATTCATCCTTGGATATAAAGTCATTTACAGATATGCCGGGTGGCCACGATAAGTCATGTATTATCCTGTACTTAACAGGGAACGAGTGTCTTTTAGGAAATACACCCATCGGGGATCCGACAAAGTTTTGAAACGGTTTATTTATAAAAGGTCCTGCTTTTCGACCATTTTTTATTTCTTTGAATAAATTCGCCTCCACAGCTTCTCTGTAAATTTGAGTAGATTTCCAGTTTGAGTGTACTCTAGTGATCCTTGGACCTTTGTAACCAATATTGACACCAAATTTTCCATCATGTAGTATTCTAGACACAAATTCCTTATCAGGATGATATTGAAGAGCATGGCTTATGTAATCTAAATTCAGGGGATTATACTGCATTATTTCCAATGGATTTTGTGCAATCACATTTTGTGTAAGGCAACTTTTTAGATTTACAATTTTTGCACACATGTTTTCTGAAGCATCGCTCTCCGAAACTGCACTCACCATATTGATATTTGTTGCATACTTCTCCAGTTTTGTCACCAATCTTTGTTTTCTCCGACGTTTTATTTGTTTCCACCTTGTTGTCCTCACGAAAAGGACAATTAGATACAAGGTGGTCTCCTTTGCATCGATAACATCTTGTTGTTGATTGTTTCACAGCAGATGCATCCAAATTAGTTGTGTACAAATATGTGTCTATAGTGCTAAATTTGAATGATTTGGTAGCTCCTAATTTTATTCGGAATTTTGTATCGTATTGGTAAACTGCTGACCAATTGTACTTTTTGTCACAACCCTTAGGAAAAAACCCATGTTTTTACATGCGTGGCGAAAGAGGGCACATGTTCTTACTTTACTTCACTTTAGTTCGCTTCATTTTGCCCCATGTGTGGCGTGGCATGTTGTTGTAAAAACAAGAGATGGCACTCTTGATTTTACTCCACTTTTACACAGGGCAAACTGTGGCAGAGCATGAACAATGTGGCAAAATCATGTAACTCTTGTCTTGCTTTTACATGAATCCGCCATGTTTTTCCCACTGTGTTTAAGTATGGGGAATCGTGGTTACATGAATTAACATGAAATGTAGTACATTTTAGAGAAAATAGAGGGACTTACTTATGCTCCTTAATTCACCTGGTTAGATTTTTTTTCATTCTATTTTTATTATTTTACATTTCTGACAGTTTTTTAGCATTAAGGAGCCCTAACCAAATAAACTATGAAAAGGCAGATTTTCTTTTGGAAACCAACATCTCGAGTTGATCATATTTTCATATTCTAAAACTGCATCAATGAACCTGTAGTTAAAGCTGTATATAGTAGAAAATTGAACCTGTAGTTGAAAGTTTTACAAGTAATTGAACCTATAGTTGAACCTGTAGTTGAGAGTTTTACATGTAACTGAATTGAACCTATAGTTGAACCCGTAGTTGAGAGTTTAACATGTAATTAAATAGAACCTATAGTTGAACCCATAGTTGAGAGTTTAACATGTAATTGAATTGAAACTATAGTTAAACCCGTAGTTAAGAGTTTTACATGTTATTCAATGAACCTATAGTTGAACCCGTAGTTGAGATTTTTACATGTAATTGAATATAACCTATGGTTGAATCCGTAGTTGAGAGTTTAACATGTAATTGAATTGAAACTATAGTTAACCCATAGTTGAGAGTTTTACATGTTATTCAATGAACCTATAATTGAATCTATAGTTTGTCAGTTTAGTTGAAAAAAGAACCTATAGTTGAACCTGTCATGGTAGTTTAGAGTTTTACATTTAATTGAATAGAACCTATAGTTGAACCCGTAGTTGAGAGTTTTACATGTTATTCAATGAACCTATAATTGAACCTATAGTTTGTCAGTTTAGTTGAAAATAGAACCTATAGTTGAACCCGTAGTTGAGAGTTTTACATGTTATTCAATGAACCTATAGTTGAACCCGTAGTTGAGATTTTAACATGTAATTGAATAGAACCTATAGTTGAACCCGTAGTTGAGAGTTTAACATGTAATTGAATTGAAACTATAGTTAAACCCACAGTTGAGAGTTTTACATGTTATTCAATGAACCTATAATTGAACCTATAGTTTGTCA